AAGGATTGGCTACTCCATTAAATCAAGCTGCTGATCAAGGAACAATAGAAGGCATTTGTGTATGTCAAGGAGCTCCAAAGGTCAACAACCTCATGGTTGCAGATGATAGTGTCCTGTTTTGCAAAGCTTCTCGCCAAACCAATACATATATACTCCAATTACTTGAAGAATATGAACATGCTTCAGGTCAAAAAGTGAACAGAGGCTAAGTTTCTCTTTTTTGTTTGGTTATTGAGTTTGATTTGATTTAAGTTCGATTCAGATTTGATTTCATTCTGTAATTTTTAGGTGATATTATTTGTGATATTGAGATATTGTTCGATATGGGCAGTGGTGGCTGGTGACGGGAGGGATCAGTGATTTTTCTGGTTTCGATTAGGGTGTGGGAGGAAGAAGATGAGTTTTATTTGCATTTTTAATTTAATTTTGAAGTTATTTTCTGTATAAAATGTAAAGTTACAATTTTACCCCTCCCAATTTGGTCAAAATAGATCAAAGTCCACTTCCTTGATCAACTAATAGTCAAAAGGATGAGTTTTTATCTATTTGGACCCCAACTACTAATTTTTCAAAGATTTGGAATTTTTGCTAGCACAAACTGAAAATTAAGGTAAAATCAGCTAAAAATTCAAAATTTAGGGACCGTTGCTACAATTTTCCCTTTTTAAAATTTAAACTTTCATATACTACGTCGAATTATCATATGAACTTGGACCATAAAAAAATATTTAAGGAGAAACTATAACAGGTGTTCATACGTAGCAAATTACTCCTACGTATTTGATTTTTAATGTCTAAATATTGGATGAAAAATTAGTCTCAAATTTATAATTGTATTTTATTCTCACACTCCATTTTAGTTTCCCCATTTGGAAGAAACTGAGGATCCAAACAAAATTGATGAAATGGAAGGAATTCGAGTGAATGAAAAGGTCGTCTAGAAGTGTGTACAAAAAAATCAAATTTATTTGTATATTCAAATATGGTTATCCAACCTTTTTCTCATTGTTAATTTTCCTAACTTTTATCATTTCGATAATTCTATTATTCTTTATTGAACAAAGAGGTTAAGATGTATATATTTACTATGAGTAAACATGGTTCGATTTGGATGGTTTATGACAAAGAGAGATTTCTATTTTCAATGGAGACTGGAAACTCTTTAATAGCGGGCAAAATTTTTTTGTTTAGAATTGTAAGCAAAGGTTTTTAGAGAATGATTGTGGGAAATGGGTTGTCAATGGTGATTATGTGATTTTTTTTGTAAGGGACAGTTGTCCTTTTGGTGAAATTAGTGGCTGGTAGTGAAGTAAATTTTTTACTAGTAACAGTGAAGTATAAATAAATGACGTTAGACAATTGTGGGATATCCGACAGAAGAAAATTTGTGGTGAAAATATTGTAAAAATTAAAATGGAGTTTTGGAAAATTGGTCATTTACATGCTAGCCGGTTGAACAACTTAATCCATTTTGATGATAAATATGCACAACTCAACCTAATGCAAGATGCATAACGGAAGAGATTTTTTCAAATGTAAGTAGAACATAAATGATAAAAGCTAAATTTGGGCTGAGAAGAAATTCCTACCAAATAAACTTCAATGATAATGCATATAGTGTATCTTTGTATAAAGATTTTGATGCGAACCATGTAGCAATAATAACTATGAAACACACAAGATTGATTCAATCTAAGAAAGCCAAGAAATCGACATTAAAGCTTGATTCAAAAATATTGAACCAAGGAACCAATACAATCACCGACAATATGTTAACCCCATGATTACACAACTCAAAAATCTCACTTGATTTGTTTGAACGCCACACGAAAATAATTTTGATAAGTTCAGAATTAATTAGATGAAGAATAAGAAGAAAGTAATAATCTTTGCAATAATCTCTCAATAATTGTGTATTTTACAATAAATAGAATGAATCCTATTTATAGGGAACCTATAAAACCTAACTAGAAAATAGAATTAAGCTAAAAAAAAAATAGCAAAAGATATCACAAAATAGAATTTTAACTAAAATAGAAGATTACGTGAAATTTGAAAAATTTGTGGTCAAAAATCAACTATGTGGCCGCATAGTATAAGTATATACAGTCGCATAAACCAAATAAAATTATTCTCCTTGGCTTCTGTAAAGGGGCATGTGACAACTATGCAGCTGCATAGTTGTCCCCTCCAGTTTTTCCGTCCATTGCTTGAATCAAGTTGCTCCACTTCGTTTCAACTTTCATGCCCAACGTCAAACTTGTTCTTTTGCTTGTTGTGATCAATATTTCATCCACCGTAACTTGAGCAAGCAATCCCATAGTCTCCTTGACCTTCTTTGCCTAGGACCTCGTCATTGGTCCTTCCTCAACAACATATGGATCCTTACCCGGACTTGCCCTCATATCCTGAATCACATCAGCCCCTCTCTCTTCGAAAGGATTCGACGTCGAATTTGTACATGCGTCAAAGAGAGAAATATCAGAGACATTAAAAGTAGTCGAAACATTATATGCACATAAAAGATATAATTTGTAGACATTGTCATTTATCTTTTCAAGGATTTGGAATGGACCATCTCCCCGTAGCTGCAACTTCGACATTATTTGTTTTGAAAAGCCCTCTTTCCTCAAATGTACCCCAAACAGATCACAATAGCAAGGAAAATGAAATAAGCAACAGGCATGAGCATGATAAAGTGAAGCATCTCAATCAACTAATTCATTGAATCATCACTACCACTTCTCACAACTTATTGAAGCCAATAAATGTCAGAGGGAAACTTATATATAGAAAACACCCAGAACTCATCAACACACTGCATAATCCCACGTTTTCAATAAGATGACCCATTCTTGAACTGTATGGGCTCGAAAGAGCAAATCCCAACTCAAATCAAAGATTGAAACAACCCCTCCGACTTTATCTAAATGCAAGTATTTTCTTGGATATGGTTCGGATTTAGCCAAGGTTACGAAGCACACAAATGCAAGTGATTTAGTCATTATTTACGTACTGTGGCAATCTTCGCAACTTCGTACCTTGATTTTTCCGGTCCACCATTCTTCGAATGCTACGATCCAACCCGCCGATGGGTTGTATTCGACCACAGTACAAGCCAACAGTTCGGTGAGACGCTTGTGTTCTCGACGCATTGCGTCTCAATGGTTGTGAAGTTGTTGTTTTGCTCCAATTTTGGCCGAAAAATGGATTTAAAAAGTGTATAACCTTCGATAATGGAGGTCTCACAGGCAGCAAAAACGTTCTCCTCTTTGCAGGGTTTCATCTCGCATACTTTTTGGAGCCAGAGTCGTTCGGGCAGTCATGCGCACTTGACGAACCACGACCCCGAACGTCACCCATCTACGGGAATGGAACATGGAGTTGTAAACAATGAAAATAGTGAAAAGGTATTTCTAGAGCAGGGTCGAACTGTTGACCTGAATGGAGAATGGATCCATGGATTTTGGGGAAGGGATTGAAGAAATGGCAGCACTATTTGAGGTGTCGGACTGGTACAGCTTAAGGACGACACCCTTGTCGAGTTCCGGTCAAAATTTCCAGTGAGAAATGGACCTTCGTCATTGCCCCGAGTGCTTCCTGAAATGGAAACTGCAGCAACGAGGATACTGGTTGAAGATCTGTGAATAATGAAGTATGGTTTCCGACAGGGAAAGTCGGTAAAGGGTAAATGAGGGTTTCGAGTTTTGCATTGTCAAATTTGGCATAGTAGGGATGGAGCATGTTGTCAAATGGCTGCTGCTCCAACGTTCTGATTTTTACTACAAATCCAAAAAAAATTTGCCCCAAACAGGTAGTTAGATTTATGTCTCTACAATTTTTATTTTTATTTTTGTCAAATTCTTTAAATGGAACATTTCATTAATTAGCATATTTTTTTCCTTGATAATGATTTTTGTTGTTTTATTTGTGTGCTTTAAAATGAGGAAAAATATTGTCTTGCATTAATTGCCTTATTAAATATTATGGACAATAAGTCATTTTATGTCCTTCGAACAATTTTTTTAGACGAAAATCATTATTATATAAGAGGTGTTAATTAATAGAATATTGAGAATAAAATGCGTCAAAAAATCAAGAATACAAACCCCTACTTGAACTTCATTAACTAAAAATTCATTTTAATCCAAATTAATTTTCAACCACATTTTCTCATTAAAATAATTTGAACATAAAAATAAATTTTTTCTTTACTTTTTAATCACATATTTTCCAAAAAAAATTACTATTAGAAAACTCTTTTTTTTTGTGTGTGAAAAATATGGCTCAAACATGGGCTAAGTATCACTATAAATAAAGATGGAAGATTATAAATGCAATTAATAAAACAATGGTGCAAATATTCTCCATAGTCAAAAAGTAAACTTTAAAAAAGACCATTATACCCATTATTTTTCATTAAATTAAAAAGTAAAATGAACACATACCTTATTTAGTGGGGATTAAAATCAAACTTTTTAACAAATTTTGATAAAAATCAATGAAATGTTTGGTTAAAAAGTTGTGAGTCTTATAAAATATGTAGTTAAAATTAATTGTTGATTTTGAATTAGATTAAAATATTAAAGATATGTTTGAGCCAGATTTTAATCTCATTTTAATTTAAGTCAAAGTCAAACAATCAATATCAAGTACATCTTTCATGATTCTCATATCTTTTCGACCACACATTTCAAAAATTTTTAACACAATTTACTTAAAATCTGATTTTAATTTACACCAAGGACTCTCTCATTTTAATTTCTACCGACAAGGACATAGAAAAGCATGGAAAGGCTATTTTAGTAATAATCTCCAAAACCATGCCCAGCTTCTTAGTCCCTGTTCATCATCCCTCCTCGTCCCTTCCCGTGACACAGCAATACACACACACACACACACACACACACATATAAATCCCCATCTCTTTATATATATTTACTCACACAATTCTATTAACTATATTTGCATGTAAAGATCGAATAGCAATCAAACTCAGAATGGGATTGTGCTTGTCACGCGATAATAAATCAAAAGTGAAGAAGAGGCCGCCGTCAAAACGGATAACGAACCACTCGGCAGCAGCGGCTGGTGGCCGAGGAGGTGGAGGTGGAGGCGGGAGCACGAGGATTCGGTCTTCGAGGAAAGAGGAGAACCTAATTCATGAGCAAGCGTTGGCCGCGGCGATACTTTTTCAGCAGGAGTTGCACAATGGCGGCGCTTCTACATTTGATCGGTCGACTTCCTTGAGGTATCCAAGTGGGAACTCTAAGAGGAATCAGGCGTTGAATCGGTGCTCAAGCTCTCGGACTCGGTCCCTCACCGATCCTCTGCTTCAACCTCACCAACTCATCAATCAGGTGAATCTAGATTGCCTTTCCTTTTTTGATTTAATTTAGTTATTACTCTATTTTTCTGATTAATTTGATAGCTTTGGAATGCTAATTAATCTTAATTTTAGTTCGTTCTAGTAGATTGGTGATGGTTTTGTATTGTGAAATGTTGGTTTATATGTGAACAATTGATAAGCTGAGCTTGAGTTGGTAAAGTTTCCAAACTAGTGGTCAAATTCGAGAATCGTGATTTGAACTCTACGATGATTGGTCCTTATTCAATAGGCTGTAAAGTTGTAAAGTTGAAAGCTTTATTGGAGTTTGTGTTCAGATATTAGGCTGGTGGAGAAAGTGACGACTGGCTGTCAATATTGTTTTATCTTTACCATTGGTTTATTACCTATTGGTGTAATTTTCCCTTTTTACCAATTTGAATAGTTACCGTCTTGCTCTGCACTTTTATACGATTCTGACACAAAAGTTTGTAAATAATAGAGTAAATATGATTTTGACTCTTGATTCTTATTTACACATTTTTATTCTTTTTTTCCCTCCCCTCAGAGAACCAAGTTTGTCACCCTTCCTCCTACCAGAGCATCCAAAGTTATTCTCTACGATTCAAATTGTTTATATCCTTTATTTATGAGAGCAAACAACATCCTTTCAAGCTTTGGACTATCAAATATCAATTATCTATTCAGCTATTCAAGCTAGAAAATTTTTATTATCCTTGGTTTTTTGTTAGCGAAAACTCGCTTCGCAATTGTCACAACTGACAAATTATCCTCAAAATGTAGACTGTACGAACCATTAAGCTGTCGTAGACACAAGAGGGTTCAACACCTTTCCTACTTATTATGTCTGTATGAGTTGTTAAATGGCTAATGTTTTACTCCAGTTGGTTGGAATGGGTGGTGTTTTCCCTTTTTTGACTGTTTTGCCATTATGCGTGGTGGCAAGAAACCATTATTCATATGGTAAATTAAGATGATTTGCACTGATTTTTCATGTTCAAAATGATTCCATGTTTATGACTTTTCCTGTTTTCTGGTCTCTCACTTAGATGGGATTCCAAGTCTTTCTAATCTTCTGTTACCTTATCTTCAGCATGGTGCCATGAAAGCTAAATATGATTTTGTCTTGCTGAATTTCGTGAATTTGATTCGAGAAATTTATTTGCTTGTGTTACCTTCTGCATCATCCTTATAACAAAAATTTCTATTTGACAGGATATCAAGCTTGATAATATAGAGACCAACCATTTTGTCCTTGTCCATGGTGGTGGTTTTGGTGCCTGGTGCTGGTATAAAACAATTGCTTTGTTAGAAGAAGGTGGATATAAAGTTACTGCAATAGATTTGACTGGTTCTGGGATTCATTCATTTGATACAAATAGCATTACAAGCCTTTCCCAATATGTGGAGCCACTTATTGATTTCTTCAAAAAGCTTGCTGATGGGGAAAAGGTTATATATTTAGACCATTTCTTTAGTTGGTTTCCATCTAACATTGATGTTTCAGATTTCCTTTTTTCCGTAGTTGGAGGGGCGGACAGGACACAATTAGAATAGTAGGAGTAGAGAGGACTAATATTGTATGTGGGGAAATAGATTTCATGTGTTCAGCAAAACATTTCATTAAGATGCTAATTCTCTCTCAAATCTTTTATCGTAAACCAACAACTCTGATATAGATCAACAAATTGCCATTTTTTAATAAACTTCTGTGGCTAAACTATATTAAAGAGACTGAACACTTCTCTGAAGGATATTTGTCAGCTATTTCCCACTTTGACATTCCGAAGGTTGGTGAAGTGCTAGAGCTCCATATATTTTCTTACAGTTAGTTATTTTTTCTAAGGGCCTTGTTCTTGCTATTTTTTAACTGTATATATGCTATTTGAGACTTCCTCTCTGTAGCTGCAAACCTTGGTTTTGGACTTTTCAGGATTTGTGAAATATTGCATTGTCGTCAAGGCCGCAGAAGTATCATGTGTAGTAGCTTGAATTTAACACTACAAACAATTGGCTTCTAAGTATTTCTGGGTGCTCAAAACTGACCTTGAACTTACTCCATTAACATAACAATATAATTTTTGTCTAGATATTTGTGTATTCATTTTATCTACAAAGAATTTCTCTATGCAGTTACACATGCATATTGAGTTTTACAGCAAGAAGTATGATTTGTTCTCAATTATCTCCTGTAGGCGATTTTAGTAGGACATGATTTTGGTGGAGCATGTATATCATATGCAATGGAGTTGTTTCCATCTAAAGTTTCCAAAGCTGTTTTTATTGCTGCTGCTATGTTGACTAGTGGGCAAAGCACCCTTGAGATGTTCTCTGAAAAGGTTTGTTTCTGTTCTGGTGATTTCTGCATGCAATGGATTGCAAGCAAAGAGAAGGAATAACTGGTTTCAAATCTGGGCCTGTTTTTAAACAATTTTTTTGGACTTCTTACTTATGCTGATCGGGGGGAAACTAGATGGAGATAAAAGACAATTTAAGCAACCGTTTGAGACCCATTTTTTCTCATTCCATTACATAAAATATTTCTCTNGATAAAAGACAATTTTAAATAACCGTCCGCTGTACTAAACTGATTACTTGTTAAATTTTACCTTGTCCGGATCAGATACTGTTTAAATGGACGAGTGACTGATTGAGACACAATCAAAAGCACTTTCGCTTTGCCTTTCAAGGATTTCTTTTTTTAAGTACCAAATAGTGATGACTAGCACATTCAGAAAACCTTCGACTACCTAAACTTATCCACTACTGAAGTGAAGATAAGATTCTGTAAGCACAAGGGATTGAATAAGTCAATGCGAGCGGCGAGCCTGACCTGCTCTTAGTCATCAAAAGAAGGAAGCCAAAGGGAGATGAGATGTTTTCACGCATTATATTTTTGCCTCAAAACTAATCACACCCTGGTCATTTCAACCAAAATCTGAGAAATTAGGTTCTTCTGCAATAAAAGAAAAAAGTCAATTCTTTAAAAAATTAGTTCAGCGTTATCAACCTGAGCATAGCTTTCAGTTGTGGCATATGGGCTTAGTATGTGTTCAGTCTTTTTGCTGAAGCACCGGTACATCTTTTATCTGTTCAGAGGTGGTGATTTATTTTACTGCATTGAACGTTGACTTTCTACTATTGATTTAATTTAAGTGACATACGATTAATTTGCAGGTGGATTCAAACGATTTAATGCGACAGGCTCAGATATTTCATTATGCTAATGGGAACAATCAGCCTCCAACTTCTATTGACTTCGACAAATCTCTCTTAAAGGAATTATTATTCAACCGAAGTCCTGCCAAGGTATGGTCTGCTGAAAGTAAATTGTTTTCACTTTGATATATAAGCACCCATCAAGCATTACTGTATGTATTCACTGAATACAAAATGGAAAGCTGAAAACATGACTGAGAAAATGTTGATCCTAGAAAAGTTTGTGATTATGATTCAGTAATGTGTACCTCCGATGTGTCAAACAAGATTGTAGATGTTCTACACATCAAGTATGGACATGTCCATGCCTCTAGCCTTGTCAGCCATATAATATAATAAATTTCGTGCCACAATGAAATGTCATGATCATGAAAATAATAATCCTAAACTGCTTGGACATACTATGTATTAGCATTATAGTTCAAAATGCTGAAACCTTTTCCAACAATATTAAGCCCTTTTACGTTTAGTTACCTCCCTCTTCTAAACAGGCGCCTTTAAGTCTATGCAAAATATGCCCCCGACCCACCTAAGTATCGTAGACTGCCAACTCATCATCATCTTGTTGAATATATTCATATATTCCTAGATGGCTGAAAACAAGCTTTCACTAAATGTTAAATACCTCACTAGGCTCGTGTTTTACAGTTGATCTTGGAAACATGAGAATACTGAACTTTAGCAAGTCGAAATTGTCGAGCTGAAGGCAAGACTGCAGCCAGATGGTGCAAACTATAAATTTACGTATTAATTGAGAATACTGAACTTTACGTATTAATTGAGAATACTGAACTTTACGTATTAATTGCCTCCTTTGGAGGTTCATTATAAATTTCACACTATAACAACCCATGTGGTATAATTTAAGATATCGCGAAAATGTCCTGTTTAGAGGACCTAAATTTCATCAATAAGTGTCGTAAATTTGCAAATTCTGGTGCATTGGACTATTAACTCCTTTCTAATTCCTTATTCTTTTCACTTAGCAGGATGTTGCATTAGCTTCAGTATCGATGAGGCCAATCCCTTTTTCACCAGTTTTGGAGAAGCTCTCTCTTTCTGAGACGAAATATGGCTCCGTGAGACGTTTTTATATTGAAACTCCAGAAGACAATGCTATACCTATTGCTGTACAGGAAAGTATGATATACAAAAGTCCCCCAGAGAGTGTATTCCATCTTAAAGGTGCTGATCACTCCCCTTTTTTCTCAAAACCTCAAGCATTGAATAAACTTCTGGTGGAAATCTCAAAGATCCCATGATTTAGTTTCCTCCGACTAGTCATTTCCGTAAGTTGGTCTTTCCCTATTGAGTTTTACTGATACGATTCAAGCATCATTATCTGCCTCCATCCCGACCTCGATCCAGATATGCTATTGCAGAGTCAGCACACATTTGAGCTGACATGTAGATGCATCTCATTCCCCTCCAATACATAGCAAAAATTAGAAGTTTCTCCTCATTGCACAATAGCCTTGTCAATGACCTTTTTATTTAAGTTTCCAAAATAAGGAGGAACTACTACTTTTTATGACATGTTTGTCTAAGCCTAGAAAAAAAAGTAGTACTTTCAAAAGTAAATAAAGACTTCTAGAATAATAGGTTTCTGAATTAAAAGCTATACTTCTTCTTTGGCAACCATGTTATGCCCCCAAAAAAAAATGTTACTTAAAACTAACTTTTAAGCTGGGCATATTTAGGCTAAGCATAAAAGTTAAGTTTAAGTACTACATTTTTTTCTGTAGCCGAACGTGCTGAAGCATATGTTCAGTATACTTTGGGTTAAATTTGCTTCTCATTGTAACCTTGCTGTTGCTGTCTTGTTTGGTTTAATAAGTTGATGTTATTTATGTAGTTCCATGCTTGAGATTAATACCACATGAAGTTCAAAGGATATAATTAACATGCATAATTTCATTATTAGAATCTCCAAATTATATGAACAGGGTAAAAAACAATAGATCTGCAAGATTATTTTAGCTGTCGAATGTATGATTTCGTTTTTCTTTTCTTGTGCGCGCATGTTGAAGGTACGAATTCAGTCGTTTGTTTTCTTACTCAACTTTGGTCGAGCTGGAGTGAATCAATTCGAATCTTATTCTTTTGACTTGAGGAAAATTTGTACTTTTGGTCCCCTAATATTTGTGAAACATGACAAATTTACTTTCAACCCATTTTTAGGATAATTCATCCCCACCCTTTAATTATGTAGCAAAACTCACCATTTTGGCCATTAAATAATAGATCTGCCCTTCTTTTTATTGAAACACAAAAAAAAAAAGGTAAAACAATAAAAAAGAGGGAAAATTGCATTTGGAGTCCTATAACTTTTTAAAATACAAACTAATATTACTTAAAACAATTAAATATGTATTAACACATAAACAAATTTAAAAAAATTTCATCTTCCCCAACCAAGCTCCACCACCCCCCTCAACATCTAATGGAACCATGATTACGTTGCCGGTACATTTTGCACTTTTCGCACCTTAAAATATTACTAAGGTAAATAATATATGTGTGATTTCATTGTTCATATAGACTTTTGCAAGTGTTTCGAGTAATAACAATGTAAATGTAGTTATCGTAATACCGAAATGACAATTGAGTTGTTATGATCGTTACTTATCACTTCTCAAAACGATATTATTGAGGATGATATATCATTTTTAATAGAAATGCATTAACTTGGTTTGATGGAAAGGTCAAAATAATGATCGTTATGTGGTTTGAGTAGAATAATGAACAACATATACATCATGAGCAATGAACGAATCAAAATATTTTCCTTGTTTTCCAACATTGTAGGAGGGGTTATTCACTTTTCTAACTCATTGAAACAACATGACTAATGCAGAATAATATTTCTAGGGGTGTGCAATTCTCGTATGCATTACGTTACCATATCGACGTGTCATTATCGTTGTATTGAAATGAGAATGGAGTCATTATTATCGTTATATATATATATATATATATATATAGTACTTTTTACGTGTTGAAACAAGATTAATAGACAGAATAAAACTTACACGTGTGTGTAAATCTCATATGCGCTTGGGTGGCATCTTGATACCGTATTGTATGTGTGATGATGAGGGAGTCGTTTTTATCACATGCACATTTTGCACTTTTCATGTATTGAAACAACATTATCAAGATAGAATAAAATTTGCATTCGTGTTCCCTTACTCATATGCTTGTGCAAACGTTTTTGAGCTATAATAGCATGAGTGTCCCTAACGTAGTATCGAAACAGTAGTAGAGTTGTTATGATCGTTACATGCACATTTTGCACTTTTCGCGTCTCAAAATGACGCTACTTAGTAAAAATAACAAATTTTGAAGGAAATTTGTTGATTTGGAACGATGAAAATTCAATATTATTGACATTATGTGGTTTCAGTAAAACGAACAACATAGATACCATTATCATTAAACGACTCAAGATCGTTTGTTTGTCCATCACCATTGTAGGAGTGTCGTTATTGTTCTACTGAAATGATAATAAAATTGTTGTGATGGTCACGTGCATGAAGACTTTTTACGTCTTGAAAATTCGTTACAAAAAAATATTAACATTTCCAGGCACGTGCATTTCTGACTATGTTCGTGCAAGAGTTTTGAGGTATAATATCATTGAGTGTCGTTACTTTGGTATTGAGATGACAGTAATGTCCTTATGAATGTTTTGAACCATTTACTTATTGAAACAGCATTAGTTAGTAGTAAAAGTAACAACTTATAATGGAGATAAGTTGATTTGTTATACTGTAAAACTTTAAAAAGGTGAATGTATCGTTGAGATCCTTTAACTTCAGGATCAACGTCATTTTTTTCCGTCTAAGTAGCTCGTGTTGCATAGCTCAGTTATTTATTTTATTTTTTTTGATAATCGTGGATGTTCGGACCAGTTTG